TGTAATGGGTGATGATAAGTGAAACACTAAGTGTCAGGGGACAGTGTTGGGAAGAGCATTTGTAGCCAAAATAGCCATAACTCGATAGGTCCAATAAAGTAGAAGTTTCCTTCTTCATCTCTTAGACCGTAGGAGAGAACAGAATGCCTCAGCTGTAACTTAAATTGTGCTTGACTCAGGGTTGCTAGATTAAGGGAGGGGAAAAGACACCCAGCTAGATTTGAACTTCAGATAAACAACCAATCACTTTTTAAATTTTATTTTATTTTATTTTATTTTATTTATTTATTTATTTATTTATTTATTTATTTATTTATTTATTTATTTATTTCAGAGAGAGGAAGGGAGAGAGAGAAATAGAAACATCAATGATGAGAGAGTCATTGATCGGCTGCCTCCTGAACGCCCCCGACTGGGGATCGAGCCCCCAACCCAGGCATGTGTCCTGACCAGGAATCAAACCGTGATCTCCTGGATCATAGGTCGGTGCTCAACCTCTGAACCATGCCGGCCGGGCCCAATCACTTTTTAATATAAGTATGTCCCTAATATTACACAGCATGTACTTAACACTAAAAAAGTATTGGTTATCTGAAATTCAGATTTAACTGGGTGCCCTATATTTGATCTGGCAATTCTAGCTTGAATGTACCTGCATGTTCAATAAAGAATACTGAAATATTAAGTTTCCAAACAAGTTGTTTGAAGTTATGTAATGAAGACATCAATTGAATTCAGCTATTTGTCTCTCACCAAGGGCTTGGCCAATTGTGTAGCCACAAAGCGTGATGATGTGGGATTAGAGAGAAAGGAGTAGGCATTTCCCCAAGCTTCTGAAACACCATCCAGATTTCTCTCATTTTCTGATATTTATCTCCAGTTTACTATAAGGTTCTGTGACAACTAAGAAAATAAAGGTGTTCAAGGTCTCAAATGTGAAATCAAAAGGTGCAGGGGGGGAAAAGGTACAGGGATTCTTGTAAAAGAAAGAGACCTATGTTAAATGTAAACTGGGATTCATGACAAATATACTTTCAAGAAGCACTATACAGAGGTATCCCCATGGATTACAAACTGGAGTTCGGCTTGGCTTACAAACATTTATGTGAGGTTGAGATTGGTCATTTCAGAATATGAACTTCATTGTTTTCAGAGTAAATAACTCATATTCTAATGTGTATCTTCAAACTTGGAATGCCCAGTTTATCTACAAAAACTAGCCCCTAAGCAAACTAAGTAATTTCCAGATAACCATACTGTTTTGTTAACTCATCAGCAAACTGGCTCAAAAGTCAACAGACAGGGCTTTGGGCTTCCATTCTGACACTCAAAAATTAGTCTTTCTTAGCTATAGTTTCTACATTTTTTGAAAGAAAGAATAATTTTGGTCCTACATGCCTCATTGATTTTTTTTTTAACTTTTATCAGAAAAATCATGATGAATTTCTCAATGTACATACATGTTTGGATTTAATCAATGTACTATATGCTATTTGTGTTCTGCTGCTTTTTCTGGATTTTGAAATTTCATCTATCAACACCATACCCATATTTATCCTTATTGATGCCTCCATGGTGCGATATCATATTTATATCTCAAAGTTAACTCCTCCCCAATTATTAAATACTTATGTTTCTAGCTTTTTTCTACTACAAAAAGTGTTATATCCATTTTCATGCAGATCATCTTTTTCTTTCTTTTGGTTTTACTTGTTGTTGGGACATGTTCAGCTTTTGTTAGGTATCATAAAGTCACACTTCAGGGGAGGTAGAGCCTATGGACTCACCGGTGTCCCTGGGGCCTCTCCCACACTGTCTTTTGACCTTTTGATTTATCCCAATTAATAGAAAGGCAGTAGCAATTTTTTAATTAAAGCTCTTTGCTTGTTTCATAACTGTATTTCAATATATATGAATAGTTGTCTGTCTTTCTCTTGATTCAGGCTTTCCACATTATGGATAGTAAACTATTGTGTGTATATATTTTTTCATTTGTTTTTATCTTTCTGTTGCACTTCCTCTCATCTTAGTTTGGTTACTGTCCATCACACAGAATAATTTAATATAATTGAACCCATTCTTGTCACGAATGTCTTCTTCCACAGTTTAAATTTTTTTTTATTCCTCACCTGAGGATGTTTTTCCATTGCTTTCGGAGAGAGTGGAAGGGAGAGATCGAGAAAGAGAGAGAGAGGGAGAGAGAAACATTGACGTGAGAGAGACACTTCAAGTGGTTGCCTCCCACACGTGCCAGAGACCGAGCCTGCAGGCAAGGTACGTGCCCTTTGCCGGAATCTAACCTGAGACACTTTAGTCCACAGGCCCATGCTCCAACCACGGAGCAAACTGGCCAGGGCTTCTTCCACAGTTAAAAAAAAAATAGCCTATTTTATTTCCTTCTAAGATTTTTATGGGAATGTTTAAAATGTTCAACTATATAACTTATCTGGAATTTATTGTGGCCTATGAGAATCAAGAGGTGTATTGAGAAAAGTGAAAGATTTAGAAATTTTTTTAAAAATTAATTTGTGTCCAGTAACACTAGCTTATGGACTTAAGCAAGTCACTTAACATCTTCAAACTCAGTGTCCTTACTAGGCTGAAGACAGGGACTTTGTCTTATTTCTCTTTATCTTTTCCATAATATCCAGCAAAGTCTTATTTCTCTTTATCTTTTCCATAATATCCAGCAAAGTACCTTACACTTAGGATAAATGTTATAAATTCTGTATTTAAGTTGTATGTTTTGCATATTTCTATCAAATTATTCCAACAGCACTCATTGAATCATGATTCATTTCCCAATTATTTATTTGGTTGCTTAGGACTAGTCATGCATCAGTGACACTCAGATTTGTTCCAATGTCAAAGCACCTGGAAGTTGCAGCACTCTTTGTGAAACATCATGAAATATGGAGATATTAAAGTTAAAATAATGAGAATGAAAATTTGATGCTAAATCGGACACCAGCTTACACTAGGTTTTAGTAGAGTATAGACACCATATGATCAGCTACCAACTGTGTGTTTTTTAACTTTTGAGAGAAATTTTTAAATTGAGAAAATTCTATCCAATAATTTAATTCCTTCAAAGAACCAGGTAAAGAACACCCAGCCATGAACAGCAAGTCGTTCAAGAGCAAAAGTTGAAAACCACAACTTATGTTAAGCATTCCCAGTTAAGAATATGAATAAAAGCCTCTGATCAAATGTAAACGCTATATAAAGTCCAGCTAAACAAGGCTGAACTGTAGCTGAACCCCAAAACTATTTAAGGTTAGTCTTTTGAGTTGCCAAGGTTGAAATTCCTGTGACATTAGAAAGTCTAAAGGAGATAGATGTCAGATCTCCAGTGCATGTTCACACCAGCAACCTTAACTCTAGATACTTCTGTTTATTAATCTATAAATCAGAGGAGGTAACACAAAAGGGCCTTACAACCTCATGTTCTACTATAGTAATGAATATGGATTTTGCAAAGCAAGAAGGAGATAGGTATGTTGGAACTATCGAAAAATAAAATCATTTCAATTCTGGATTTCTTGTATTCTGAAGATGATACCCGCTAATAGGCTGGAGTCCTGTCATCTGCACAGAGTCCTGAAGATTTGGACAGGGATGTCTGTTAAGGCTACTAGAGCCCTCTAAAGCAACATCATTTTGCTGTGCTAATCAATATTTTTTCGTGGAGCTTACTTTTACTTAGACCTTTGACTTTTAAAAAGAATGTCTCTTGTTAAGAAAGATAATAATACTGTAGTTTTGTTTTGTGTTTTCTCTTTACTGCTAGACAGAAGGTAAAAGATCTAGGGTTGGGTTCCTACTCTGCCACTTGATCTAAGATGAGTCATTCAACATTTTTTCTGAAAGAAAAAAGAAAAGTGGAATGGACAGTTCCTGAAATCCTGTATCATTCTAACAGTCTTGTTCAAATTTAATATGTTCCAATGCAAGGAAAAGAAAAATACAAAAAATGCAGTTTCCTTCATACTTTGGAAACTGATGATTCACCATTCAGAATGGTCCTTGCTGAGTCATTTTACATTTAGAAATTCCCCCAGAATTTCCTTAAATAGTAGAAATCTCTAGTGAAGTCAAACTGTGGCTACAAATCTCCAACTCTTTTTTATGAATAATTAGTTTATGATATGCACTTGGTCCAGAAAAGTGATACCTCTTCTCTAGATTATGACATTCATGAACAATATTCTATGCCAGCTGTGTGTGTGTGTGTGTGTGTGTGTGTGTGTGTGTTAACAAGAAGTTAGAATTGCTGAACCCTAATTCAGCTCAATTGCCAAAAAGACAGTTGATTCCACAAAAATCATCTGCTTGGAAGGGAAATAAATCATGACTTCATTAACCTCCAGTGCACTCTCGGTCCAGGATTCTGAAATCAGGACTAACACAAGAGGCGGCTCCGTGAAATCAGGCAATCATCCTTTCCCCTTCTCTGCACTACCTCCAGAGACTGCATGGATCAATGGCATTGTTCAAAGCATTTCAGAAAATACTAGCTCAGGCCATTTTTCCTCCAAAATGTATCCCACCAAAAGGTTTGCTTCTCATCTGCCCACGAGTGTGTGTGCTCCAGATGTCTTTGAACTCTCACTGTCGGATGCGGTGCAAGCCATCCAGATTGCCTTCGTTGTCCTAACTGAGTTATCTCACTAAGAGAGCACTTTCCACTCTACAAAGGCTCACCACCAACCTCTCCTTCACCAGCGTGGACAAACCACCTTCTTTCTGTCACTCTTGACTGCTGATTCAGATCAGAAAGATGAAGGCGAAGTTACAGACAGTGGCTCTTGTTTACACTCAGCTATCCCTGTGTGTTTGTTTTTTTGGATGGTATTTCTCTTAAGAATAGCAAAGCTCTAACGTGCCCAGTAAAATGGGACACAGTTTCTACTAAGTGCATTTATGTGAAGAGCAGTTTTTCACTTAATTTTCCACGCTCCTCAGATGGTTTAGAGGAAAGTTTTGCTGTCTTGTTGCAGGTTCAGAAAATGGTCTTGCACAGAAGCAGCGAACACCTCGCCGAAGATGTCAGCAGCCCAAAATGTTGAGTAGCCCCGAGGACACCATGTACTATAACCAGTTAAATGTGAGTTCAAAGTGGCCATAAAGCTGTTTCACTGGCTTTGTTTCCAGTTAATAATTCTGTTATTAATACCTGTTCCAGCCCCTCCAGCCCCACCCCCACCCTCTTATGCTCTCGTCTTGAACATGTGCTTAGGCTCTTTATCTGTTGCTTTCATGTCAGGATGTCTGCCTTCACGGTGAATAATTGATGTGGTTTATCAAAGACGAGCAAGATGCATGCTTCATCAGGCTCACTTGAGCCCTTTGATCAAAAAAATTATGCTGTGACTTCTGATATTATCAGCATCTGCTTGCATTCAACACAAAATCACTTTGAATTAAAAATTAACGACTTGCTGCTTTGCTTTGACTGTGTGTTCTTGGCCCTCTCCACAGGGAACTCTAGAATATCAAGGGAGCAAGAGGAAGCCAAGAAAACTTGGGTAAATATCTGTCTTCTTAGTTCTAAGCAACTGTAAACAGAAGGGGTCCTTTGTGATATTACAGAAAATGCAAAACTTTCCTGAGAGGCTTCTAAAAATATGCACTGGGGATAGCCCCACTATTATTGACATTGGAAACTACTTTTCACAGTAGCAAGTATACAAAACTTGAATCTATTCAGTTTGGAAAGGCTGGAATTGCAATCTAAAGGCAAATTTTTATTTCTCATCATTTTCTCAGGGAAGTATACTTCCCTCGTAGGTAGATACATAACGGGTTGTATAAAACCCTCCGACAAACAAGATCACTCCACACAGTGCAAATAGGTGGCTTCCCCCATATTACGCTACCCCTGGGCCTTAGAGGCACAGGACAATTTCCTCCAGTGGTTGGAGGATTCTGAGGAGTTTGAGCTCACTTAATTGTTAGCATCTCAATTGAGAATAGGAATGAGATAGGTAATTGGTACTAGTTTAAGAACTGGAGGAGGTCAGGAGGGGAACTTCCTTATCTAGAGGGAAGCAGATGGAGACAGACAAGGTAATTCACGTAAAACAAGCTGCAATATGATCACAATTTCCAGACACCGCTAAATTGGGCCATTATCCGTGTGTGGCTCAGAGGTGAACGGCTTTGTGGATCAGACCCCAGTTCCTCTGTGTGGGAGGACCCCGGGCTACCCTAAGCTATCCTTTCCCCCAGGTTTGCGACCCAACCCTGTCCCTAGCACTCAAACAACGTTAGCTGCCCCAGAGATGACTGTGGCATTTGTTTTCTTTTTCTGTTGAAACCCTTTTCTTTGTTGTAGCCAAGTCAAAGTGCTTGATGGTGAAGATGAATACTACAAATCTCTGTCACCTGTGGACTCGATCCCAGAGGAAGACAACCCCGCCCCCCCTTTCTTTTTTCCCTCATCCTCAGAAGGAGCACCCTCTGCTCGGCACTGAGCTGTCCTTCCTGCCCCTCAGGTCTGTTGAGGGTAAGAACAATCACGGTAATCGACTGGTTGTCATTTAATAAGAAAGCACTGCAATATGGTCAGTATCTTTGGACACACGCCAGAGCCTCCCTAAACAATTTTCAGATTCTTAACCTTTTTCTTCTATCTCCATCACCTTCCCCACATCTGCTCTGCAGCTTGAACTGAGTAATTCTTTCTTTTCTCAAACCATGAGTCTCTTGGGGACACTGAGTGCACCTCCACTACAGTAGTAACCATCATTCATGCCCCCATCTAAGAGGGTAGCAATCTCACCATCAGCCAGTTGTGAACACTAATCATATTTCTTCATTTTCCCCGCACGTCCATCCGTGCAGAATCTGCCCCTGTGAAAATCCAGGAGTTCCTTTCCTCCTCGCCTCTCCACAGCATCCCCTCCCCATTTGCTGTCTTCCCACCCTGCCCGCCTCTCCCCAGGGGCCGGGCTCCCTCGCTGAGTGTCTCCATACTGGAAGAGTTCACTCAAAGTCTCCTAGGCCAGGATAATTTTTTGTGTGTTTATAGGGAGAGGCCTAAATTTTTCATATTCTTTCTATAAGGCAAATGAACTCCTCTCTTGCTAATTATTATGCCGATAAAGCCTTTGACTCTTTACTCCACCTTGTCAAGATACCCCCATCATCTTAACAATAAAAGAAAGGAGTGAATTGGAAAGAAAATTTGGACCTGTCAGAGTCTATGTCATGTGGCTTTGTAACTTTCCATTCTCAGGTGGGCTGTCTCCATAGGTTGTGAGTGGCTGCAGGAAAGCATCTTGTGTCAGCCATCCCTGTGTACACAGAGCCTAGCACAGTGCCTGGCACAGAGTGGACATCCAGTAAATGCCCACCTTTGAATGAGTAGAGAGACTTAGTTATACAATATATCTAATAGGAAAGTTATGTTCAATTATGTTATTCATGATTAATCACTTTTATTACACCATAAGTTCTGATTTTTCATTCAAGGTTGGGCTAGTCTTATTGTAATGATGTTATACTATATATTATAATACTCATTATGATTCAATACATGGAAAACAATATGTGAGATTTCTGTGTAATGTAAAAAACCTACAAGACCCTTTCCCTAGAACAGATGTTCTCAACATTTTTTTTTACCTTAAAATACTTGGCAGAGCCCTGCCAGGGGTGGCTCAGCGGTTGAGCATCCACCTAGGATCCAGGCCATCGGGGTTCAATTCCTGGTCAGGGCACATGCCCGGGTTGCGGGCTAGAGCCCCAGTCGGGGACGTGTGGGAGGCAGCCGATCAATGACTCTCTCATCATTGATGTTTCTCTCTCTCTCTCTCTCCCTCTCCTTTCCTCTCTCTGAAATCAATAAAGATATAAAATTATAAAATAAAATAAAATAAAATAAAATAAAATAAAATAAAATAAAATAAAATACTTGGCAGATAGTACACATGGGAGTACTCAGATTTTGAGAAAAATAAACTTGAGGAAATAGAAAAAAATTGTTTTCAGAATTTTAAGGGGAAGAGTTCTAATAAGCATTTTACGAACATAAATAATGAATTAAGGCATCTAAATATCTTAGAAATTATAATTTAACAAGAAAAACAAAGAGTCAATTATTCAATAGTCAAACTTTACTTTTTAAAAAATGAGTCTCAATTTTTTTCCAGATCTTCACCCCAAGGTGAAGGTTATGCTTTTAAGGTATGTAAGTAGAGCAGAAGAAACACAAATGAACTTCATTTTATTGTTTAAAAATAATATGTAGAATATATAGATTTTTAACATTATTAGTAATATAAGTAGTTTTGGAAATTTGACTTTTATCATTGATTTGTCTACTTTTGATTTGGTAATATTAGCTGTTTTTCAATCCATTGAATAGAAATGTTCATAACTTCCCACTAGTCCCTGTACAACGTAGTTGTATACCTGCCTTATTTCTAATTAAAATATATCTATAAATAAAGTTTAAAAGGAAATAGAAGTAATTATAAAAATCATAATTCAGAAGTTCTGTAATAATTACTCATTGCCACAGCAATAACTCCTAACAGTACTTTAGAAATGGTGTTCACTATTAGTTACAACATAGATAAGGCAAGACAGACTGTAGATATTATTCTTGAGCTAGTTATAGTGCCATAAACTCAAAAAGCAATTCTTAAAACAAGTTGATGAGAATGATGCAACCTGGAATCTCATAAATGTCTTATTAGACTTATCAAAATAATATGCACATGGCAAAAAGAAACCAAAATCAAACAGTACAGAGAGTTTATAGTAGAAAGCAATTTTAGTCCCTACCCCCAGAAGCAACTTTTAAAAAAAAATTACTTCTAATTCTAATTCTTTTAATGACTTCCATCGTGTCTCTGAATAATTTGCTTCTCTGTTCTTGATTTATTATTTTAGACAATATCTACTCTCTCTTTCTATGAAAGATGTGCATTATATCTTAATTCCTCCCTCCTCTCTCTTAACTTCTTCCAGTGCTTACAAGTTTATTTTTATATTTTTGTTGATTACTTTTTAAACTTTAAATTATATAATTAAATGCCTATTTTTGTATCACTGACTTTAGATAGTATCTCTATGCTTTTGCCTCACATGAAACAACTAATACGCTGAAAGATAATGTCAAGACAAATAGAGTAATGGATCCTGGATAAAACAGAGATAATCCTGAGGATAGAACAGTTTTTTAAAACTTTACTGCAAACCCTTGGTGTTTGTGCTCTGAGCTGCTGTTTCTTCTTCCATTTTAGTTCATCTGCACATATGCCTCCATCCATCTTTCTTAACTTTCTTTATTTTAAAATATAATATATATATAGAAAACATATAGTAGAACATTGTCAGCACCTTAGAAGCCTCCCTCATGTCCCTTCCCAGTCACTACTATCCCTGTCCACCCCCAGAGAAAATCACTCTCATGACTTTCCTGGTAAACACTTTCGTGATTTTCTTTGTAGTTTTACCACTTACATGCATCTCTAAACACTATAGTTAGATTTTCTTATTATAGGTAGGCTTTGGGAACTTTATATAAATGGAATCATGTAGTATGTAATTTTTGGATCTTGTTGTTTGTTTTTTATTCAATATTGTATTTGTCAGTTTCATCTAATTTGTGGAATGTAAATGTAGTTTATTCATTTTCATGACTTCAGTATATGAATATGCCATAATTGATTTACCCACTCTACTTTTGATATATAAGTATGAATTGTTTGCAATTCAGGGCTATTTTGGAAGTTGCTACTACCATCATTGTTGGATATGTCTCTTCGTATATATTTACATGCATTTCTGTTGGCTATCTACCTAGGATTAGAATTGCAGGGTCCTAAGGTACACATACCTTCAATTTAGTAAGTAATGCCAAACTTTTCCTGAGTGATTGTACCATTTTATAATCATGCCAGAGGTATAAGAAAGCTCTCATTGGTCTGCATCCTCACCAACTCTTGCTATTATCAGTCTTCTTCATTTGGGGAATCCGATAGTTAAACAGAGGAATCTCACTGTGATTTAGCTCACATATCACCAATTAATAATGATATTCAGCACATTTTTATGTGTTTAGTGGGCATTTTAGATATTTTTGTTACATTCCCATTTTTAATTAATTTCTTTAAATGCTAGTTGTATGTGTGGAAACATTTTCTCCACTAGGTAGCTTGTCCTTTCATTCTCTTTTGATGAAAATAAGTTTATAATTTTAAAATAGTACAACTTACCAATCTTTTCCTTTTTACCAGCAATTTTTTTATGGCCTGTTAAGAAGTCTTGGACTGCAAGGTCATAAAGATATTTGTCTTTAGTATCTTCTGGAAACATTATTGTTTTGCATTTCACATTTAGATCTTTAAACCACCCAGAATTGATTTTACAAATAGTGTGCAATAAGGGTTAATTTTCTTGTTTTCTCTAGTGGATATTCAACTGTCTGAGCCCAATTTAATGAAAAGACCATCCTTTTCTTATTGCTCTAAAATACTACCATTTACATAAGTCAAGTGTTCATGAGTCTGTTTCCAGATTCTCTATTCTGTTCCATTGATGTATTTGTTATCCTTGTCTTAAGTACTGCACGTTTATGATAGGCCTTGGTATATGGCAGAGCAAGTCTTGCAATACTGTTTTTCTTCTCCAAGAGACCTTGATTAGTCTGGACATTTTACATATTACAGAAGCAAACAGTCAACTTTTGAAAAAAAACCCTGTTAGGGTTTCTTTTGAATTATCTTGAATCTAGAAGTCAATTTGGAAGGAATTATCATGTTTACAATATTGAAGTTTTCAGTCCATGAACATGGTATATCCTTCTCTTTATTTAGTTATTCCTTCTCTTTCAAGAATGATTTGATTTATAATTTTATGTATTTTTCCTATGAACCACATATAATTTTATGTCACTTAAAGAATTAAAAAATCTGCTTTCTATTTGTTGCCTCCTGTATATGCTTTTAGGAGGTAATTAGGCCATGAGGGTGGAGCCCTCGTGAAGAGGATTAGTGCCCTTATAAAAGAGAACCTAAAGAGCTTACTTGCTTCTTCCACCATATGAGGACACAGTAAAAAGGTGGCTGTCTATGAACTGAGAAGCAGGCTCTCACCAGACATGGAGTCTGCTGGCACCTTATTCTTTAACTTCTGTTGCTTAAATCACCCAGGCTATGGTCTTCCAATATAGTGGCCTGAACAGACTAAGACATTGTTGTCACATGGAAATGCAATTGATGTTTTGCATTTGAGATTCATCAACTGTGCTAAATTTACTCCATGAAATGTTAATTCCAATAACATATCTGTAGATATTTTTGGATTTTCTACGATTATAACCTCTGCAAATAACTACAGACTTTTTCTTCCTTTTTAACATTTCTACTTTGCTTTTTCTTGATATAGTGCTTGTATAAATTAGTTATTGCACACCAAATCAACCACATATTTCTCACAAGTCTATGGATCAGCTAAGTATTTC